AATCTTACAGAGTAAACTTAGTTTTGGCGAAAATCTATAATTTCTAAAATTAAATTTGTGTTTTAAAATTTTGATTAGTTTTAACAGGTCTTTAAAGAAATCTAGCAAGAAATCCATGAGCCACATTTATAAAGATCCCAAATTTTGAAGGAAAAGCATGGATATCTCATTCATTTTTAATCTGGCAAAGCTTTCAAAGGGTGCACTTGTAAAACGGACAAACCACTTTATCTCCTTTATCAAGGGGAACTTTTACGTTTAATTTAAAGAAAATTTTCGAATCCACATTTGAAGAATCTTTGAACGCAAGGAAACAAGATTTAAAACAGCATTTATCATTGTTTTATGATAGAAAAATACACAATGCTGCTGTAACTCAATCTAAAAACTTTTTACACGAAAAGTTTGTGGCTCAGATTTGTTGAGAAACATTGTTAAGAATTGATACTCTGCATATTAAACGAAAATACAAGCTGTTTATACTTTGAAAGGACACGCTCACAAAATACTTCTTTTACAAGGGAATACATTAGTTTTCTGGATTTTCTGTACAAAATGTGATTGAAAAAAGTTTTTTTTGATGGGGTTGATTTTTTTTTATTCTTTAGGTAATAAACATACAGTTGAACCCATACAACTATGGAATAAGTTGTTTTTTGCCCGGGCATTGTCATCTTTGGGTTGAAGGTCACTTGAAATGATGTTCTTTGTTACGCAAAAAAAAAACTTCTATAATCACATCTGTGTCCGAACCAATGTGCTTACCCGACGAACCCAAAACCATTTTTAGACAGAAATAATGTAATACCTCGTTTCTTACAATATGGTTCATGGTTAGACCATATTCCACTAGCCTGGCACACTCGTTCTTCAGGTCCAATTATCTGGTATCCTAAACATATTATCTGGTATCCTAAACATATTATCTAGTATCCTAAACATATTATCTGATATCCTAAACATATTCTCTAGTATCCTAAACATATTATCTGATATCTTAAACACATTATCTGGTATCCTAAACATATTATCTGATATCCTAAACATATTATCTGGAATCCTAAACATATTCTTTGGTATCCTAAGCATACTATCTGATATCCTAAACATATTATCTGGAATCCTAAACATATTATCTGATATCCTAAACATATTATCTGGTATCCTAAACATATTATCTAGTATCCTAAACACATTATCTGGTATCCAAAAATATTATCTGGTATCCTAAACATATTATCTGGTATCCTAAACATATTATCTAGTATCCTAAACATATTATCTGGTATCCAAAAATATTATCTGG